CATGTCACCCCTGGTCCTTCTTTTCTCTAGACGATCCATACCCAGTTCTTGCAGCCGTTCTTCATATACCGCTTGAGAATGAAAAGCAGTTAGTTGGAAAAATCAATATTGAAAGGAGAAATCTGCAGGCAGGATCTTCTGGTTAATTGTTAGCTTGGCCTTTTTCGATAATCAGGAGATCTTGGTTTCTGTCAGCACCGGGTGAGTGTGATTGTGAGAGAGGAGATGCAATGCTCCAGTCACTTTATTGGCTGGGCTCTTTTCTGCGAAGCTATTATGGTGCTTTGAAATGATCTTTTCCCTCCCAACGAAAAGGTTTCATTTTGACCTCCTCATCCTGCCCGCCCAGTCATGGGGTTGCTATTTTGAAAAGGCAGCAGAATCGCTCACTGGACTGTTGTTTGATCTACAGTAGCCAGCTGAATTTTCTTGGCCCAACACCCAAAATGCCTGTTTGCAGATCAAACGGGGCTGCTGCTTAGAAAGGAGATTGTACAGTAACCATCAAGGGGAAAACGGAAGAGACCAAACGCAGGGAAATACGAAGTATGAGCTGCATTGCAAAAGTTGGAAAGGGCACATTGCAGGTGAAGTTTAAGCTTTTGGGAAGGGATTAATCGAAACGTGGAGCCTTAGATAAATTGGCATTCCTGCTCTGAACTGGATGAACTTTCCCCCTTTAATTTACCTTTTAAGATTACAAATTTGGGACAGAAGTCAAGGAACCCACCCTAAATCATGACTTCTCAACTTGACAACTTTAAGACATCTGGATTTCAACATTCAGCATTCCTCAGCCAGCTATTGCAGCACTCAGCAGAGCAAAGAACAATTAAAAGAAGCTTGAGGTGCAATCTTTAGTTATGGGAGCTTTCCCCCCCCCCTGTGTTTGGTCTCTTTTCCAGTTTTCCTCCATGATTACAATCTCTTTTGAATTGTTTTAATAAGTAGCAACCTCATTTGTCACCCAGCCGGCTTTCGTACCTAAGGCAGGACTAGAATTCAGAGTTTTCTGCTTTCTCTTCTGATGCCTGAACCACTAAATCAAAGTGGCTCTACTTATTTATTTTTGTTGACTTATGTACTTAGTCCAACTGTTGCAGGCAGGCTTGAAACCTACTGCAAAATTCCCCCAGTGCTCAGCTGGCTCCAGGGCACCCAGCTGTCTTTAGACTCAGTTCGTGGCTATATTTGGAAAGGAGAATTGTGACGTGTATCTCTGGATGTTTCACAGGCAGTGTTTTCCCCAGACTGAGTATAGCTTTCTCCAGTCAGGCGCCAAAGAAGGAGTAACACCCATGTATTATGTTCAGGGCATACCTTTCTGTGTTCCAATGGGCAATGCCCAAACTGCTGGATGTCAATCCAGGAGGCTGGTTTGGGATCAAGACGCTTGCTAGTTGCCCAGCCTTGCTCCAATCTATAAAATCCATTCTACCACATCTTGTTCTGGGATCCCGATCTTCCTCTTCCTCTTTTTTCCTAGGCACTTATCCAGTGGTGGGATACAGTCAGTTCGCACCCCTTCGGCAGAACCGGTAGCTAATTTTTTGTTGCCCAGGCCCAGAATGGACTTCTGGAAGCGGCATCCACAGAGAGAACCGGTTGTTCACCTATTTGAATCCCACCACTGGATGGATGGATGGATGGATGGATGGATGGATGGATGGATGGATAGATAGATAGATAGATAGATAGATAGATAGATAGATAGATAGATAGATAGATAGATAGATAGATAGATAGATAGATAGATAGATAGATAGATAGATAGATAGATAGATAGAGTGATGAGATTCAGCCAGTTCTCTCCAGTTCAGCAGAACCGGTAGCTACTTTTTTGTTGCCCAGGCCCAGAATGGACTTCTGGAAGCGGCATCCACGACAGAGAACCGGTGGTTCACCTATTTGAATCCCACCACTGCACCTATCCCCTAGTTCTGCCTTTCCAGAAGGAAAGTCTCAAATTCTCTGGTGGCAACTGTCTTCTACTTGGCCTGATTCCAACTCACCTGGCTCGTCAGTTTCCTTATTTCATTTGTACAAACTCCATTCTCATTTCTTGAGTTTGCAGGCCCAGCCCAACCTATCCTACACACGCACACGCACATATAGACACACAAACAGACGTCTGATCTATTTCAGGATTTCTGGCTAATCTTATTCTTTGCCTGTATTTTTCGGACAGGTACTATATTTGAATACAACCTGTTTCAACTCCTTCTCTCAGGATGGTGTTAAAAGGGCACTGTATGTCTAGTCAGCTAACCACAGGGATGGTTTCTTCCCTTATGCCAGGGGTAGGCAACCTTGTCTCTTTTATGACTCGTGGACTTCAACTCCCAGAATTCCTGAGCCAGCATGTGAAGTCCACGAGTCATAAAAGAGCCAAGGTTGCCTACCCCTGCCTTATGCCATTACTCTGCTGAACGCCTAATTTTCACAGATGACGCAATGCAATGATTGCTAAGTTTTTTTGTCTAATGTGTAGGTATATTAGCACATGGGGTGTGACTGTCCCTTTTATTATTTTTTTACTTCTCCCTTTTATTGGCGGTGAACTTTATGATTAATCATTATGATTATATTCTGTTGTTTTGCAAGTACACCGAGTGCTTCTGAGACACATTCCTTGTGCATTTAACCACCCTTGGCCAAATAAATAAGGTATAAGAATAAACAGAAGAATTTCTCTTTAGCACAACATTATAGGTGCACGCAGCTTTAGGGATGAGATATTTAATATGGCTTCATTTGCACTGGATTGCATGCTGCATTAAAAAGCCCTTCACACTTGTCACAGTTTGGACTTTGGTCAAAACGTGACAGCATTTCCCAAGCTTCTTTATTGGATTTTCTGAAACAGGGTGATTCACTCTGGAAACCGGCTGCAAAGAGATAGATTTTGATTAGGCGGTTTAGACACAACAGCCTGTCATAAGGAAGTGGATTTGTTGCTATAGGATGAGATGCAGGGCTTCTTTGGCTGCTGGAGAATAAATAAACAAATGGGCAGAGTTTCAGTTTAACATCCTTATGGATGGAGGAAAATATTACGGCAACCCCCAGCTCTCTGGTTTTGAATTCGTTCCCCCCCCTTCCCCTGCCTCTCTTCGATTTGTGCAAAAGCCTTTGTCTCACAATTATCGAGAAACCTGTTTTGAGATTCAAAGGCAGGAAATATTGATTAGGTGCCAATGCCTTGCCTGGAACACCTATACTGCTTATCCCAAATACTTCTGGGAATCTGGACTCCAGAGGATACCTTAAAGGTTAACGGGCCTCCTTGGGATAGATGTGATGTTTGTCGACAAACCGATTGCTGATCTCTTCTGTTGTGTACATTTGCTCTTGTTCAGTTGCCTGTGCGTTTTCATGTAAGTGGCTCAGAGTCGATGTTGTAAATACAGTATTTATTCAATGAAAACATCAGGAAAATCTTTAAAAAACTTCATTTAAATAATAATAATAATAATGATGATGATGATGATGATGATGATGATGATGATGATGATGATTATGTTTTAGTGGGGGTTTTTGTATGGGTGTGTTTTTATTTAATTTGATTTTAGAACTGCCTATATTTATCATGGTTTTTATTATCGCCTGTTCACCGCCCTGAGTCCCGTAAGGGAGATAGGGCGGTATATAAATTCAATAAATAAATAAATAAATAAATAAATAAATAAATAAATAAAGTTGGAAGGGACCTTGAAGGTCATCTAGTCCAACCCCCTGCTCAGGCAGGAAACCCTATACCATTTCGGACAAATGGCTGTCCAGTCTCTTCTTAAAAACTTCCAGGGTTGGAGCATTCACCGCTTCTGGAGGCAGGTTGTTCCACTGGTTAATTGTTCAAGATGTATGCAAGGTGTATACAAGAAGGAACTTCTCCACTTAGTAGGTTCAAGATAGATAAAAGGAAGGAATTTAGCTTTTTACAAAGGCCCAAGCATCACCCCAATTTAAGGGGGTGGTTAACCTGGAGAATGGCCTCAAATTATGCTAAGCAGAGGGATTTTTAATCTGGGGGGGGGGGAGAGGACTTTGAAATCTCCTTCTGAAACCCCTCGCTTACATCGGCTCTCTCCCTTTTTAGCAGAGGCTGGCTCGCGTCCACCCGTCTGTAAGTGTGGCGAAGCCGTCGGAAATCCAACCGGTGAAGCCCATCCTCAGCCCGCGCCAAGGCTATTAGAACCCGGGTCCCCTTTTTGCTCGCTTGGCCAAGCCTGACGACCGAGCGACCCGGCTCCGGAGGGGAGCGACCGAGGGACTCCGCGCGACTGGAGGCGGGGAGGCTGCTGGCGCTCAGCAGGGCGGGCGCTAGGACCCGGGGCCGCCGCCCAGAGCCGGGGGCAGACACACCTGTTTTCCCGGCTCCGGATTAAGCGAGCGAGCCGACGGAGGAGGAGTGCGCGGCCGTCCGGGCTCCGCTCGCGGCAGCTGCTCAGCCCCGCGGGCCCCGGGCCTCGGTTCCGAAGAGGAGCCGCCCGTCCGCGGAGCTTCCCGCCTGGGCTTCCGACAAGCAGGAGGCGAGAAGCCGGCTTCCGAGCGGGCAGCCGCGCCCGGGCCCCCGGGGACTCCCCACCCGGAGCCGGAGCTGCGCGGGGGAACCGGCCCGGGGGGCGCGTCGGCCGCTCCGGTTGAGCAGCTTTCGCCGGGCGCCGCTTCTTCCTGCTGCCCTTCCAGCCCGGCTTCCCCGGGCGCTGGGGACTAGCCGCGGACTCAGTCTTGATTTTCCTCCTTCTGTGAAATGGGCGCGCTTGGAAGCCCGGAGGCCGCCTTCTCGGGCCGCTTGGCTGGCCCTGCCGGCCCTTTGAGAACCGGCTGCCTGCGCTGCCCTCGGAAAAGTGGCTGAAAAGAGGAGCCAGGGCTGCCTTTCCAAGGGAGGCGAGTACAGAAGTGGGAAGAGCGCTTGGGGGGGGGGGGAAAGAGGCTCCTTTGTGGGTTGGGGGGGTGAAGGTAAAACCCCCCCCCGGGCTGGAGCAGCTACTAGCGGAATGGGCCCTGGGAGAGTGGCGGTGGCGGACTCGTCCGTGGAAGAATGCTCCGACCACCGCGTCTCTCGTGGAAGGGGCAAAAGCCGTCCCCGCAAGGTCTTGCGCCGAGTGGCCTCGCAGGCGGTGACCAGGACCAACCCGCCGCTGGGCATCATCTTCACCACGCTCCTGTACTGCGGGGAGCTGGCCTCGGCCTGCGTGGTCAGCGTCTCCTACAGCCGCTCCAATGACCAGTTCTGGATGGTCCTGACTCTGCTCCTGATGCTCGCCTCCTCCGTCATGGTCCAGCTGACCCTCATCTTCGTCAACCGGGACTTGACCAGCGACAAGCCCTTCATCCTCTTCATGCACCTGCTGCTGCTGGGCCCGCTCATCAGGTGAGGAGGGACACCTCTTTGGCCGCCCCCCCTTCCCATTCCAAAACTTTGGTCCAGCAGCGGAGTGCCGAGAGCGGGGTTCAAGGTGGCCTTGTCTTCCCCCAGCTGTGCAGGAACTAGCACCCTCCCAGAATCCACATTGGGCTTTAAGTTGTCTCACAAATACCTTGGGAAGCTTGTGAGAAACTGGAGAAGGGATGCTTGGTTAGGTTGTCCTTTGGGAGGGCGGGTTTGTGGTTGTCAAAATGCCCACTTCTGAACTTTCTGGGCTGGCCCAGATGCTTAGGCACAATTGCAGCAGCCAGGTGTGTTTTCAAGGTTGGGATTTAGAATAGAATAGAGCTGGAAGGGGCCCTGGAGGTCTTCTAGTCCAGCCCCCTGCTCAAGCAGGAGAACCTACACCATCTCAGACAGGTGATTGTCTAGTTAAAAATCTCCAGTGATGGAGCGCCCACGATTTTTGGAGCTAAGTTGTTCCACTGGTTGATTGTTCTCACGGTCAGGAAGTTTCTCCTTAATTCCAGGTTGCTTCTCTCTTTGATCAGTTTCCAACCATTGTTTCTCGTCCTTCCCTCTGGTGCTCTGGTGAACAACCTGCCCCCTTCTGCCTTGTGGCAGCCCCTCAGATACTGGAACGCTGCTATCATGTCTCCCCTATTTCTTCTTTTCTTTAGACTAACCAAACCCAAGTCCCGCAGCCGTTCTTCGTACGTTTTGGTCTCCAGGCCTTTGACCATCTTAGTTGCCCTTGTCTGCATTACACTCAGCCATGGTTCACTTAAGCATAGTTTGTGGGGTAAACCATAATGGGCCAGTGTCACACCTTGCCCCAAATGTTCAAATCGGGGTTTTACCTCTCACAGTGGCTAGCTGGATGCTAAACCAAGGACCCAATTTGCATCCCAGCCAGGACAGGCCAAAAGTTAAGTGATTTACATGTTCTGCTTGTGCTTCTTAAGACAAGCAATGGGTGGGGTCAAAAATGACAGCTCCGTTTGGAAAATGTTGATTTGAATATGAGGACGAAAGAGCTCTTCCTGTCTGAGATCATAAAGCAGTGTTTCTCAACCTTGAGAACTTGAAGGTGTCTGGGTTTCAACACCCAGAATTCCCCAGCCAGCCATGGGAGTTAAGTTGAACTCCAGACAGTGGGGGTCCTTGGTGCTTTCTGCGCCTGATTGTTTTCTTGCAGATGTTTCATTACCAAATGAGTTAACATTCTAGTGGGGAGTGAGGTTCCCTCTTATCTTATGCCCCTAATATATAAAATGCCACACGTAAAATATATGTCACTAGAATATAAAACGAGAACAAACCCCACTCCCTACTGGGCCGGATGATGTTACTTAGTTTGGTAATAAAACGTCTGCAAGAAAACATGCTCAGAGAGCACCAAGAACCTCACAGTTCAACCCTGAGCTGCAAATATTCTCTTCCATTGGAACTCCAGACAAAGTTGCCAAGGTTGAGAAACACAATCATAAGTGTTTCTAACTTTGCTTCCTTCAAAAAATTAGTTCTTAGATTAGCTGTGTGTCTTCCTCCCCCCCCCCCACGCTCATTTTGCTAAGTGTGGTTCTGGCTATTTGTCCTTGGATTTTGCTCCGGGAGTGCTAGAAGCCAAGAGGCAGGTCCATCTTGGAAGCCAATGTTCTCTGTGGAGGAATGTTGGTGAGAATTGAAAGCTGAGCTTCTGCCCTTTCACCAGAAGGAAATGTGATCTTCCCAGAATGTTTAGCATGCTCAAATGCCCTTGGGAGGTGCTAGAGCTGAAGATATTCTATGTTTCTCTTCAATACGTCCTTCTGAAGAGGGAACTCCCTCTTTTAATGGGTGCTCCTAACATCCTCTCTTCTGGGTGATGTGAAAAAATTCCCCCGTCAACTTTCTTTGCTTTAAAAATAATAATAATAATAATAATAATTCAAGATCAGAGGTTGCTTGTTGATTCCATTTTTCCTCCGCAGGTATTAACAGGCTGAACTTGAAATCTAGATTGCCAAAACAAAGTTGCAACATTGGCTTGGTGACATCATAACACTTGAAATGTTATTTTGAGAGAATTGAGGCTTTGGCCACACTCAACGAACTCTTCAGCAGTCTTCTCCTTTCTCCTTCCTGTGGTCCAGTTTCCACACCATGTTTACACCTCCAGCTACCAAGCAACCCAGTTAAATCTCCTTCTGGTGGTACAGTAGCTAGAATGCAGAATGGCAGACTAACTCTGCCTGCGGCCTGGAGTTCGACCCAGATGGGCTCAAGATTGACTCAGCCTTCCTTCCTTCCTTCCTTCCTTCCTTCCTTCCTTCCTTCCTTCCTTCCTTCCTTCCTTCCTTCCTTCCTTCCTTCCTTCCTTCCTTCCTTCCTTCCTCCCTCCCTTCCTCCCTTCCTCCCTCCCTCCCGCTTATAAGCATCACTTATATGCTATGTCCTGGATAGAAGGAAGTGAATTACTAAACATCTTTCCTGCTATCCTCACCACTCTCTGCACCGCCTTCCTGTGTGAAGCAGTAATGCTTCCAAACCAGACAGTAATGCTATATGATAGGATGCTCTCGATCATCCCTCTGTAGAAAGTGTTAAGGACAGGGGAAGGAAGATGTATTTTTCTCACGCGATGCAGAAAATGCAGATGCTGCTGTACCCACTTCACCGGGGTCTCACTGCTGATCGACCAAGCTAGCTTGGTGGCTTATAGTTTCATGATGTATGCAAGAAGGAACTTCTCCACTTAGTAGGTTCAAGATAGCTAAAAGGAAGGAATTTAGCTTTTTACAAAGCTCAAGGCTAGCTGCTCACCATCCATTAGACCAAACTATATTCCAAATATCTAAACTATATTAGTACAGCCTTTTGATTTTTTTTAAAAAGAGTTTGCTTGGTGGTAAATAGTTGATTAGCTTTTTATAAAGCTCAAGGCTAGCTGCTCGTGATCCATTAGGCCAAACTATTTCAACTATTTATCCTTAAGCAAATTCTGTCCCAATTACAGCCCCCCACCCCAGCCGATTGCATCAGGCTTAGCTGGGATAGGAAATTCCAGGGGCTTCAAGCTAGACTGGGCGGTGTGAAATGAAATCACAACAAATCAAAATCCACAGAAGGCAAAGCAAACCGTTTGCTTATTATTGCCAAGAAAAACAGCACGGACAGATCTGTGAGGACTCCCATTTGAAGGAAATTTCCCCCTAAATGGAGGAGTTTCCTGAAAAATCTTGCATGCGTCCCTCCCAGCTTCAAACTTCGCCACTAAAGAATGGTTTTCTATCCGAGACGACGAAAGGAGGTGGTTAAATTTATGGGGAATAATAATAGTTGGTGTATATTTAAAAAAACTTGAACTGAATCCAAGATTTTGTTCTAGCTTCTCCCTCTTGCCTGCTCTGGCCTTGCTTGTTTGGGAAATGTGGCTTGCAGCCCTTGACCCAAAGACCAGCCAGCCTAAAACAATTCGACCTCCCTGTTTTTGTATCCCTAGTTTGCAGAAATGTTTGACAGACCAGTGCTGGAAATGGAAGGACTGAATTCTGTGAATTCACCCTTGGGATACCCCACAGCTGGGGTGGAATTCAGCTCCCATAATCCAAATTGAAGTTTAGAACAGATGAAGAACCCCATGAAAGGACTCCAGTTCAGGGGTCCCCAACCCCCGGTCCATAGACCGGTACCGGGCCGTGGCATGCCAGCAACTGGTCTGCACAAACAAGCGAAGCCCCATCCGTGGGCTGCAGGCAGCACACAAAACCACGCACCCTCCGGTCCGTGGAAAAACCTCTCTCCACGGAACCGATCCCTGGTGCCCAAAAGGTTGGGGATCTCTGATCTAGTTGTGTTTGCATGATACGAACTAACCAGCTCAGCCTTGGTGCTGAGCTTATAGTTCGGTAGTTCATACCGACTCAGAAAAGTGGTTCCATTGTATAAACCAGGCTTGCACTTACTATAATTAAACATGTGCTGAGTATGTTAATTGACTAACAGCCAGTGGATTAAACTTTGGAGAGGTGATCCTGTTTGTTAGAGGTTGTGCCTGATTTTACAACTTTTTTGTTGTTGTTGCCACCGTTGTTTAAACAATCTCTGCAATTGTTTAGTGAACCATGCGGTCATTAAGCAAATCCAACGGGCCCCCCACCCCAATTGACTTTGCTTGTTGGAAGCTAGTTGAGAAGGAATACTGCATCCAGTTTTGGTCACCACGATGTAAAATAGATGTTGAGACTCTAGAAAGAGTACAGAGAAGAGCAACAAAGATGATTAGGGGACTGGAGGCTAAAGCATATAAGAAAAGGCTGCTGGAATTGGGTATGTCTATTTTAATGAAGAGAAGGACGAGGGGGGACATGATAGCAGTATCTATCAGTATATCAGGGGCTGCCACAAAGAAGAGGGAGTCAAGCTATTCTCCAAAGCGCCTGAAGGCAGGACAAGAAGCAACGGGTGGAAACTAACCAAAGAGAGAAGCAACCTAGAACTAAGGAGAAACTTCCTGACAGTGAGAACAATTAACCAGTGGAACAACCTGCCTCCAGAAGCGGTGAATGCTCCAACACTGGAAGTTTTTAA